ATTTTGATCATAAATTTTTAATATTTATTTGAATAATTTTTCTTGTATATTTTTTTATATAGGGGTATTTTCCCTGCGTTTCCCCCTTACTGGTATATCACTCTGTATCTCTCTCTCTCTCTTCATCTCTCTCTCTCTCTCCTACCCCACTTCCCCTAAATCACTCCTTAATTTCCTCCTCATTTCCCGCAATTCTCTCCTCGTGTTTCCCCCTCTTCTTTTTTTATCTATCGTGCTCTCTCTCTCTCTCACTCACGAGCTCTTTTTCTCTCTCTTTAAAATAATCTCAATCACTCTCATTTTCTTACTCTCTCTCTCTCTCTCTCTCTGCTCCTCTCCTCTCTCTCTCTCTATCTTTTCAATACAAAACAACTGCCCATCCCCTTCTCTCCTCCGTCCTCTCTTCCTCGTCGGAGACCACGCACACGCGCCCCACCGCTTGAGCCTCCGTTTCGTCGCCACAAACCGCAACCTCCACCGTGCCTCCAAGGTTGCCGCCCCTCTCCTTTCACCCGACGCCCACGATGCGCTGCTCGGCTCCGCCCCACGGCCGCTGCACTCGCACCTCCACGAGCTCCAAGCCCGACGCCACCACCGCCTGAGATCCACAGCCCCCTCTCGAGTTCGCAGCTCCTCCGACGAACTCGGACCAGCGTCGACGTCAGTTCGTTGGCCCAAACCCCTCCCCGTCGACCCTGCCCCTTGTCAGACGCCGTCACCGCCGTGTCGTGCTCAGTCCCAGTCCGCTCCCTCGTCATCGACGAGCGTCGCTGAGATCCCGCAGCCCCTCATCAGAGTTCCCCGACGTCGCGCACCACCGCGTCAGATCCGACCCGCGCCATCAGTGTCGATTCGTTCGACGAACCCCGAGGCAAGATCCTACTTCTCTGGACTTGTTAATTCAATTTTAGATCTGCGAATTAATTATATGCATGTTTAGACTGTATTATAATTATGTTGTATGTTGTGATATATCTGCGTGGGATTGTTTGATGAACGATATTAATTATGAGGTGTTTTTTTGAAAATGATAAAAAAAGAATAATTTCAAAGAATATTTTTTTAGAATTAATTATAATGAGGAAATATTTTAAAAGAAACTATTTTGTAAAAGGACTTTTAAATAAATAGATTTATGATTTTAAAAGATTAGGAATAATTTAAAGGAAATTATTTTGTAAAGGATTATTTTGAAATTAATAAGCTAATTATTTTTAAAGGTTAGTTTAGAATTAAATGGTTTATTTTGAGTTATTATAATAATAGATATTTTAAAAGAAATTATTATACTATACATGCACGTCCGATTCATAGTTATCCCATACAGTCATGTTCATGTCATATTGAGACTCGTAATTATATTTCATGTGATTACTCATTTGATTCGTGTTATTGTCTGATATCACATCTTTGTCGTGCTTCCTTATACTTATGCTTGAATATATTAGCCTAGAATTCCATACAGGTTTGCTTTGCAATTCGCTGCCGGGAAACGTACTATTGTTTGCAGCCTTGTATAATTAATCGCCGGCCTTGTATATTATTGATGGACTTGTATTGTATTCGTTGACTCATTTATGGCTGTGTATCATTGCGGTGGATGGTCTTCGTGCCTATATATTTGGTTTCATTCCTGTGTCGGCTATACGCCTTGATTTCCTCCAAATTGTGGAGATGAACCGACTTTATTCTTGTAGGCGATTTCGCCGTTCTCACTAAAATAGGGAGGGGAGATTAACGTCCTGATTTATTGACAATCCTGATTTGAGCCCCTCTACACCTAGGATGATTTGTTTAGACTCTTTCATTCATTCTATTGCTCAATTATTCGAAATTGAATCCGAAGTCGCTTCTCGTTTCCTATGCCGACCTATCTACAATGGAACTAGATCTTGAGATTCTCCCCGTTGACGTCGTAGGATTCCTTGTTATGTCGTCATTATACTTATGATTATTTTCTATATTTTCTTTGGTTGGATCGCTTCCTCATTTAGCGTGTATACTTCCTTTTCGACAGTTAGTAGTTGTTTCTTTATTCTGCATCGATCTATCTATCGTCGGACTTGACTGAAGGATTTCTTCTTCATCATTTCTAGTGCATTATAATATTACTATTTTCATATATACCTATATATATATACTATAACAAATCATTATTACATGATATGTCATGATATTATTGCACATGAATTGTTACATTACTATTGCCTTGCTGTGATTGAGAACCATTAGCAGTCATGACCATAGTGGCCTTGTGTGACCTAGAGACATGTGTTGTGTTGACTTAGAAAAGCAAGAAGAGTTGGGGTGGGAAAGTCTTTGTTCATGTGATTGGATATGGTTGTTGATATATCTTCCAGGCTCGTACCAGTGGATCGGTGTCGCCACTGGGGTTGGTTTGTTGAGTCAAAGTAGATCGGTGTCGCTACTTTGGTTCATGAATTTATTTGCTTGGATGATGTGCGAACAATCAGTTATAAGATGATATGAATGTTGACTCTGTGTGAGATTTGTACCAGTGACCTGTTATAGAATGGCTAGTTACATGACCTTGTTACTTGAGGTGATTATGGATTCTTGTGAGATGTAGGCCAGTTGTTTTTCTCTTATACATAGATCGGGATTAATATTTAATTATCTATAATTTGAGACATATGGTATATACATGAGGGTTTCCTTGTTTGGATTATTTCGCTCGACGTACTACATCTCGAGTTGTAGATTTTTAAGTATTAATTCCATCTAGTATATACCCATGTTACTTGTATGATTGTTCTGATCGCTAGCTACATGATCTAGTTACCTGATCGATTCTGGATGCTTTATGTTATCATAATTTAGTAGTGTTTTCATGTTGAATTGTGGATTTCAATTGTACGTTCTTTTGTTGTTTCTGTTATCGTATCGTTTTTCGCATTGGATTTCCGTTTGTTCTATTTTCCTTGTGGGGTCGGGTCTTGCCGTGCATCATGCACCTGACATACACTTGTTTTCTCTAGTGTACGTCAGACTTAGAGGAAGAACAAGTCTAGCTGGGAGATCGTCAGGAGCCAGAGGATTCTCAACATGAGTGCCTTGCAGACGTAGCAGAAGAAGAAGCCGAAGCTTAGTCATTCCTTTCAGTTTGTTTTGTAGCACCTTCATTTCCTTTTGATCAGTGTATTTTTATATTTTCCAGTATTTCATTCAGATAGTTTTTGTATAAGGGCATGTTTGACCCGAATATTATGTCTTGGATGATATTCATTTGTGATATGTATTATTTTATTCTGAGTTTGTCTATTATATTCTTGCTGATTGTGATCGGGGACCTGTGTCTTTGTATTGTATTATTTTCAGACGCTTAGCGTATTGGATTGAGGAGAAAAGAAAAAAAGATAGTGTATATTTCTTCTCAATCTAATACGTCGCGGGCTTGTTCACGTTCCGATTCCCCGATATTTTGGGAAGCGGGGCGTGATAGGTTTTTTTTGGTGGCCCATGCAGGTCACGGTTCCGGTCACGGTCCCGAGTTTCCACTAGTGAGAATATAACAGACAACTTAGATACATATCATATTTCATCCGTAAGACTAATCTTGAGCCATTATCCTATTCTCTTGATAGATTATATTCCGTCCCTATCTCATCACTCTTTGACTCCGGAGTTTTCCACGGTTCTTGTCCCATCATTTCGCGATTACCCTCTCTTTGTATAACTTCTATTTCCTCGTACCGGTCGTTATTATATGTGTTAATATTCTTACAACTATATTTTCTTGATTTGACTTATATATCATTTAATTGTATTCATTTCTGTATTATTTATTATATTATTTTATGTATCACATACAGTGTTGTATTGTATATTTTTATTTGTTTATAAATCTATTTTATCTTTTATAGTTCATGTTTTATGTATTATACATTTTATTTATGTATATTACGCTGTTTATATTTATGTGATTTTTGACTACTACACAATATACTACTATGTCTAAATTGATTTTATATAGTGATTATTATTGTTGTTGTATCTTGTTTATATTATGAATATTACTAATATTTCTAATTTATCATATTGGTTGTCGAATATATAATTATGTTTTTTTTATTATGTTTTATATAATTGTTGTATGCTAGTAATTATTGTGTATCGTTTTATTCGGCTATTGATTATTATTATGATTTACATCTGTTGTTTGTCTATATGTATTGATGTGTTTCTATCTATATTCATTTCTTAATGTTATTTTCAATTGTGATCATGTATGTTCTGTAGGGGTGAGCACGGTTCGGTCCAAACCGAAAAAACCGACCGAACCGAACCGAAATCAAGAGTTTGGTTCGGTTTTACTTATATGACAGTTCGGGTCGGGTTGAAATCTTTTCAACCCGAAATAACCGAACCGACCGATAATAACACATTAACATAACACCCCAGAGTCTGAGAGACCCGACCCGTGAATCCCTTCCCTGATACTCAAGTCACATTTCATCACCTAAACCCTAGATCTCATTCCCAATTTCAGCCGCCACTCCCAGACTCCCTTCCCAGTTCCCACTCGTCGCTCGATCCTCATCCTCTCCTCTCCTCACTCCTCACTCCTCAGTCCTCAGTTCCTCTCTCTAACTCTTCAGTCCTCAGTTCCTCTCTCTAACTCCTCAGTCCTTAGTCCTCCGTCGACTCCGACTCCTCAGTTCGTCAACTCCGCCACTCAACAATTCGATCAGTCGCTCTCTCACTCTCTGTCCGCCTCTCTCACTCAGTCGACTCCGACTCTCCTCAGTTCCTCAGATCCGCCGCTCGACACTCCGCAGTCTTCATGGGGACACCCGAGGCCGAAACATCTCCTCCGGATCTATCTCCGGCTTTGGGGACACCCGTCACACCCACACCCACGGCCAAGGCAGAGGTATAAACTGAAATTACCCTCTTTCAGTGTTGAATGTGATGTTCAGATAGTTTTTGTTGTTCAGTGACTTCAGTCTGGTTCTCACATTATAAAGATTCATTTTTCAGGTTTTGAATTGAAGAATCAACTGTACATCACTCTTCTACATCTCAACTGAGAAATTTCATCACCTATTACTGTACATCACTCTTCTACATCTCAACTGAGAAATTTCATCACCTATTTGTCCTTCATATCTTCATTCAGATAGTTTTTGTTGTAATTCTCAACTGAGAAATTTCATCACCTATTTGTCCTTCATATCTTCATTCAGATAGTTTTTGTTGTAATTTTTAAACTGTATAGTGAGTCAGTGTATACCCTCTTTCAGTCTGGTTCTCACTTCTCACATTACAAAGATGATGACATTTTCAATTTTAAGTGATAACTGTATAGTGGTTGTTTTCATGAAAGTTGTTGCCTTGTTGGATTCATACTTTATTATGATGTGGTGTACATTACTGGAAGTTGTGGATTCATACTTTATATCTGTAGCAGCAAGATTGATGCAATTTCAATTTTAGGAACAAGATTGTATATTATTAGTAGTGGTACATAATTTTGATAAAAATCATAATTTTGCTTTTATACATATTAGTGTGCTAAAAAGTTAAAAACCCTAATTCAGTTGAATTGTTGAAATAATCTGCAGGCTTCTCAAAAGGAGAATCCTAATGTAAATGCAAGTCAAGTTGATTCTAATCAATCTACACAAGGCTCTCAGACTTTGACTAAAAGGAAAGCAATAAAAGAAAGATCGGAGGTATGGGATCATTTTACTAAGTTTAAAGATAAAAATGGTGACCCAAAAGCAAAATGCAAGTATTGTGAAAAAGTGTATTTTGCACATTGTAAAAAAAATGGTACTACAGCTCTTCGCAATCACATGGAGTCTTGCAAAAAGCATCCACATAATGTCGACACTCGACAGAAGTTATTAAATTTACATGCAAATCGTGATTCACAAAGTGGATCTAGTACGAAAATAGGAACCCTTGGTAGTTGGAGTTATGATGAAGGAGCCATAAGAAAAGCCCTCAATTATTTTATCATTTTGGACGAGCTTCCATTCAAGTTAGTAGAGGGTTTAGGGTTTAAAAATTTTATGTCAACCGCTTGCCCTAGATTTCATATTCCTTCTCGTTGGACAATCCAAAGAGATTTCTATGAAATTTACCTTGAAGAAAAAAAATTGAAGAATTTATTGAAAGCTACATGTCAGAGGGTGTGTCTAACAACCGATACTTGGACTTCCATTCAAAATATTAATTATATGTGTTTAAGAGCACACTGGATTGACAATGATTGGAAATTGAACAAAAGAATAATAAACTTTTGTCCTATTTCAAGTCATAAAGGAGATGATCTTGGGAAGGTGGTCGAGAAGTGTTTACTAGATTGGGAAATTGAGAATGTTTTCACCATCACGGTTGATAATGCTAGTTCAAATGATACCATGATTATATACTTAAAAAAGAGGTTCAACAATTGGGGAGGCATAATGTTGGGTGAGAAATATCTTCATATGAGATGCATTGCTCATATTGTTAATCTTATTGTTAGTGATGGGCTCAAATGTTTGGGGGATTCCGTTGCTCGTGTTCGTTCGGCGGTGAGATATGTGAGGCAATCTCCCTCTAGATTAGCTAAATTCAAAACTTGCATTGAACTAGAAAAAATTGAATTTGGTTCATCTTTATGTTTGGATGTATGCACTAGATGGAATTCCACTTATTTGATGTTGAACGTTGCTCTAAAATATGAAAAAGCTTTTGAAAGATATGGTGAGGAGGATCCCTTGTTTAGATTTGAACTAAGTAATGGAAATGGAGCTCATGGAATGCCATTGGAGGATGATTGGGTTAATGTGAGAAGGTTATGCATTTTGCTTGAAAAATTTTACAAGCTAACATTACTTGTTTCAGGTTCCTTATATGTGACAAGTAATTTTTTTCTTCAAGAAATTGGTAATATTGCTTGTGATTTGCAAAAATGGAGATTGTCTGATGATGCATCATATGCTAGAATTGCTAATAAAATGACAGATAAATATGAGAAGTATTGGGGAAGTTGGGAGAAGACGAACATGTTGATTTACATTGCGGCGCTTGTAGATCCACGAAATAAAGAAGATTTTGTGACTTTTATTCTTGAGCTTACATATGGTGAGAAAGAAAGTGTTGATAAGTTAAAATTCATCAAAGATGTCGCATTTGCATTATTCAATGACTACAAGATTAAATATGGAACTGAAATAAATACAAGTGAGCAATCAATTGGTGCTTCATCTAATAATATTGACAGTGGTGATGTTAATCAAATAACCGATGTAAGAAGTCAGTTTAAAAGTTTGAAAGCCGCAAAAGGAAGTGTCGAAGCAAAATCAGAGTTGGAAAAATTTCTAAGCGAGGATGTTGAAGCCGATCAAAGTAACTTTGATATTTTAGCTTATTGGAAAGTTAATAGTGCAAGGTTCCCAATTCTCTCTCGGATGGTTCGTGATGTATTGGCTATTCCAATCTCCACAGTTGCTTCTGAATTTGCTTTTAGTACAGGTGGCCGAGTACTTGATCCATTTAGGAGCTCATTGACTCCGAGAATGGTACAAAGCTTAGTATGCACTTCCGATTGGCTTCGAAACTTGTTGGCTACGCCGGGTTCGAGCAAAATTTGCTTTGAAGAAGATTTGGATGATCTTGAGAAGTTAGACATAGGTATTTATCATTTATGTTTTTGTATGTTAAATGATTTGATTTTTATTAACTTTTTATTTGTTTATCTTTCAGATTTGGGCAAGCTTTCAATTGAACCGACAATCACGGATTTGTAAGAGCTTTCATGGAAGAACACAGGTAATAATTGTTCTCTGTGATTAGTTTTAGAAAATCTAACACTTACGTGTTTAACGTTTAGGGGGAAAAGATAGTGTTACTGTTAACTCCTTCATAGCCTAAAACGCTTAACGAAAACAAAAAGCATATGCTCCTTCAATAGCCCATTTAGAGAGCCAGAGTTTAGGTTGCATGTTTCTAGGATAAGGCCTAGTATGCACCTCGAGTCTTTTGCATTTCACTTGCATGAATTACATAATGAGATCTATAAGAGTATGACATTAATAATGAACTATAAGTGTGAGTTTTCTATAGAATGTAATAAGCAAATGCAGGTCAGTTGAAGGAATGGTTGTGATTATAGCTTGCTCAAAGAGGTTCCTCACGAGAATTTGATATTTACTCGATTTCCAGTGACAAAAGATTGATTTCTTGTCAGGTACCTTTGATTCACGTACACAACAATCACTCCAGAGTTACCACCCTTGCTTTCAACAAAAGCACAACCATCATCATTTCCACTACACTATCAGCAAAAAGAATACATTGCAGAGGAGATGTTATTGATGGCCATTAATAGCTAAATTCAGAATGTTTTCTAAAGCTTGTGTTCAAAAAAGTTCAGCTCAATCTGGAGGTTAAGTCAGAATGTTGTACCTCGTTCTGTGATTTACACTTTGGCCGTGATTTACATTTTGTACCTCGTTCTGTGATTGTTCTCTTCTATTTACAGTTTTCATGTTAGTATGTAAACTTTAACTCTACATTCCTGTTGGTGATGTACTGATGTCTTCTCTGTGATTCTTGTTAGGATAAAGTGTTACTATGTAAACTTTAACTCTACATTGGTGCTTATTTCCTGTTGGGTACTTCCCACTTGCTTCTATTCAATTGGTGCTTATTACATGATGCTATATTAATTCCCACTTGCTTCTAGATTCAATTGTTGTTATTCATGATGTTATATTATATGAACAAAGGCAACCTAGCTTTGTGTTTGCTTTCAAAAAATCAATGTCAACAACTTGTTGCTGTGTTTATTTGCTTGGATGCCTGGATATAAACTCTTGGGACAAGCAATATTTGTGCCATTGATTGTTATACTTGATGAAGTTACCGAACAAACCGAACCGAACCTCACCGAACCGATTTGCAACGGTTCGGTTCGGTTTTGAATTATAGGTGGTTCGGTTCGGTTGTTCAAATTTTGGTAAAAACCGACCTGAACCGAACCGTGCTCACCCCTAATGTTCTGTATACCTTATTATAATCTTTATTGTCCTTTTGCTTGATTGTTCTGTATTCTTGTTTTATATCTTGTGCTTTTCTAGTAATATTGCGCCATTCTCGTGTTTAGTATATTTCAGTCATTTTACATTATCATTGTCAGCTATTGTATAATATATTATAAGTATATTATTAACTTGCTAGCTTGTTTTATTACGTATAAAGTAGTTTCATTTACTATATTTCATTTTATTCTTTACTTCCAATTACATGTATCATCATTGTTTGATTTAATTTATCAATCATTTCATCTTTTTAGTTTTGTTGATGTTATGGTTACTTATTTTCTAAATACAGTTTCTTATTCATCTTAATACTTACTTATATATATTTTGTTCCTTGTCAAGTTTGTTGCTTTATTTTTCTAGTCATAATATTATGTACCCAATAGTCATAATATTTACATAAAGTGTGCGTTTTCGATAATTATTGCTGTGAGATACGTCTATAATTATTTATTTTGTTTTTGATATGATATACTACATATAATTCATTTCTTATATGTTGTTGTGTTATATCACATTGTCCTTCCATGATTATCGGCTTCGTATTGTTTTGTATATTATATCTTTTTGATTTATGTTCAATTACCTTCTAATATTCCACTTGCATTGTGCTGCTTATTTTTACATAATTATATTATTTGTCGCATTCTAATTTCTGTGTATACAATTTGTAAATTCCTAATATTTGTGTAATCGTGTTCTATTTCATGTATTATCAGTGTTTAATCGTGTTCTATTTCATGTATTATCGGTGTTTATATTCACATGTTCATCAATCATTCATTGTATGTTTGTCTACAATATATCAGTGTTTTTGTTATACGGAATTATGTTCTTCTTATGTTTTCATTTGCTTATATACTTAATTTACCTTTCATAGTTTTTGTTTTTATATATTATACTTCTTTATCTAGTAGTATGTTTGTGAGTGTTAATATTGTTAGTAAGCATTTATATTTTAGTGTATTCTACGATTTTTGTATGTGTTAATGTATTTTGAGTTTTATACTGTCAAATTTATTCGTTACTTATTTAAATGCATTGAGTCTTTCATTTATGTTCTTCTTATCAGATTTGTATTTTTCATTATTTTAACTTGTATTGTTTTACATCGTGTTACTCTTCTGTTTCGTTTCTCTTATTTTTGTATTTTTTTTGTAGATCATATTATATCAATATCGTTTTATTTTTATATTTTTCTTTGAATAGGAGTTGTTATTTTCGGTATGAGTGTGTGGTGTTATGGCTTTATAGTTTGTGTAATGTTGTTACAAAGTGCGTGTTTGTTTAGCTATGATTTTTGTATTTTTACATATTGTATTTTGGTTACGTATTTAGTCGTAATATTTTTGTATTTGGTGTGTTTTATATTTATGGAGTGTATTCTTACTCATTTTTCTTTCACGTCTTAATTTGTGTATTGCTATACTTATTGTGATTCAGTATTTATTATGTTTTTATTATAATTTTTGTTTGTGGTCATGTTATAGTGTAATTATTTTTATTTTGTGTTATATTTATTTTATTAATTCTACATATTGTACATGTATTTATACATGTTTGCCATGTATGTTACTACATAATTTTGGTCACATTTTACTTTTCATGTACGTGTTTTATTACCATTATTATTTGGATACTTATCAAGTTATATGTTTTCTTGTATGTCGTTTTATGTTGTCTTGTAGACCCTAGAAGGTGATTAGCGGTTTTATGCTAATCTAATGCGATAAATACCAATTTACATTAATTAATAATTATCCTACAGTATGAAATACAATAATGTATATGAGCTAGGATAAGAATTATGAACAACAAGATATATCTATATGATAGAAAATACTGGTGCAAGGATATATAAATCAAAGCCGTAAACAATCTAAACTAGTAGCTGCGGCATAATATAATCAACAAGCCAATACTACAAAGGCGTATATAAGATATACAACACTAAAAGTAACGTGCGCACAACTGTAATCACAAGACAAACAATATGATTTACGGAGTTCGCGTCCCCACACGAACCTACGTCCTCGCTCCTCACCTTCGAGGAAGGATCTCCACTATCACAACGGTTTTGTCTACGTCACCCGAACAACGTTTACACCTCACATACCAATCACATGCAATCACACCCTCACACACTCAAAGTGTTGGTCCTAGCCCGTGTCCTCCCTGCCTCAAGTTACTTCGGTTACATACCTCCGTTCACCCTAGCGCTCTCAGCCGTCACCACCCGACGCCACTCCCTGCCGGATTCGACTCCCGTCTCTACACACACTTCTCTTCGGGGCTACACAACGGTCGGCTATAATCTACAACGTGAACTCCTCACCAATTAGCGCACAATATCAAACTCAATTGTTATCTTTCTAAACAAGATGAGAACTCAATTAAGCTCCACTCTCAAATTCAACAACCCACCAACCCTAAATTACTACTATGAATTTAAATACAATAAGCTCAATGGTCTGTGTGTGTAAACAAAGAGTAAATCAAATCAAACTAAACTCAAATAAATTCTAGCTTAATAAAATGATAATCAAACAATTATATATAAATGTAAAGCTAGATTGAGTTTAGAAACACTTCTCTAAAGATGACAAGAGAGTGGGAGAAGAGTGAATGCTCAAACACCAAAGGATGATCTCCACTTGCTCTTGTGAAATTTGCTCCACAAACCAAACTCTTGTAAATGCTTAAAAGCTTGTTAAACAAACACTAAAAATTAACTTAAACCCTTGATTAAAACTTTCTTAAACTTGTTATTAAAACTCTCTTAGATATTTTAAAACTGAGGTATAAGGGGGTATTTATAGCCTCCCAATACCTCAAACAAAAGCCCAAACCAAAAGACCAAAAACCCCTCCAACGGATACAAAAAAATAGCCGTTATGGGCATTCTGGGAGCTGGGCGGTCGACCGACCTTTTTTTCGGTCGACCGCTCGCACTGTACAAACCTGAAAAAGTTTCAGAAACATTTCCAGTCCGGTCGACCGGTCCGGTCGACCGGTACTGTAGCAGTGTGTAGCTGTTTTGTAAAATTAATTTAAAATAGTAAATGAACTCCAAAAATTATGAAAATTTGTGGTAATGTTCTAAACATGTAGAATAACATGTCAGAGAAAGAATTTCTGAAAAATATTTTCCCAGTTGAGAGAAATAAATATTTGAACATAAATTTACAGTTTCTGAAAAAACTGTTAACATATACGATTTTGAATTTACAGTTTCTGAAAAACTGTTAACATATACGATTTTGTAAAATCAATTGGGCACAGTAAATCAACTCTAAAAATAGTAAAATTTTGAGGGAAGTTTCTAAACATGTAGATAAACACGTCAAAGAAAGAATTTCTTGAATATCACTTTCCATTTATGAAAACTCATCTGTTTTGTAAAACATGCACGAACATGCACGAACGAAAAACATGATTTTGTAAATTTCATTAAACATAACAAATCAA